TTGGCCAGCATTATAACTAATGCCGGCTAACTTTGTCGGTATTAGGTCCTTTCGGGAATCTGTCTTTCGGTAAAACCGTAAATTTAATATCGATGTCAAATGAGTGCCGTCAAGGGAAAACCCAAAATCTGGCTTTCAATTATAGTTTGTGTCTAAACTTTTAATCGTATTATCTTGACAACTACTACACCAAATTCGAAGTTTTTTTTATTCGAATTCTATATATCTGTAAAATTCGAGTTAAAAAAATCTCATCGAATTTGGTGTAGTAGTTGTCAAGGCCAGATTTTGGGACGGCACTCAAATAGAGCAGTCAAGAAAAATCATTATTTGGAACTTGCTTATGTATTGTATTTATTTACTGTATTTATTATACGTATTTTAATAAAACATTCACATAGATATCAATATAATACATAATCTATCCGCCATCCCGAAAATAATTCGGGATAAATTTTAGGTGGTCCACGAATTTTGAAATTAGCTGTAGTTGTTATTTCAAAATAAAACCTATGAATACTTTCAAATTTTCATTAATACATCCATGCTTACAAGAGTTTGGTAAATTATGCCCTAGTATTTACATTGTCTTCAATTTAGTTGATTTCTTTTGGATATATTTGTCACGGGGCTAATCGATATAGGGTGAACTATACCGAATATCTGGTTCAGGGTTATAGAAAATGAACACTCGCTTGTTTGTTTATTAAGGATAAGGTAAACAACGAAATAGGATAAACAAAGGGTATGAATTTATTGATTAAATTATATGAACGAGAAATTCTATCTCTCTTTCTCTTTTACATTTTCTATTTTGATGGCATTGCGATATTAAATCAGAGATCAAGCCTTTGGGATATACTCAGTTGAGGAAAGATCAAGACTTCATATTCAAAAAATATTAAAGCTTTTCAAAACATCAAAATTTTATTATTTTATATAATGCATATAAAGTTTTAAGTAAAGATCAAAAAGATGAAGTGTTAAAGTACCGTAAAAGTTCATAGACCCGATTCTGTTTCATTCCACCAATTTTTAAACCCTCTAGTAGACCCGGGTCCAGAGGTTACATCATGAAAAGAAAAAATTTAAAATGCATACACACTTTGTATTTATTCTAACTATTTGAAAAAAAAACAACCGCATTTAATTAATGGGTCTACTATTTTGGGGGATCTTGTATATGAACTTTTATGGTACATCTTAAAGGAAAGGCTTCAATCAAACAAGTTATTTTTTAAATATGGGCATATATCTGTCATAATTATGTATTTGTTATCTTGCAATATATATATTATTTACAAAATTCATTCAATAACTTTATTGACGCGTAAAAATATTTTTGACGACTGATTACAATGTAAATGCTAGCCAAAATAATGAATAGATAGGAGTGTAGGGCGGAGATGAAAACAGAGGAATAAAGCATGAAATCATTCCTGTTAGCTTTTTTTAATATACGGTATACGATTATACCTTAACACAAGAATAAATTGTGTAAAATATCTATTAAAAAAAGATTAATACGTACAAATAAAAAAAATATATATCATACTGTAGTTATATTTATTTTTGGTCTAGCATTTTAAGGTTTGGTTATTATCTAATAATGAATTGTCGATTTAAAAATTTTAATTTCAGTAATCTTTGTTCCACCTTGTTATTTATTAATTAAAATTAATATGGGTAATTACAATAGTATAGTATAGTCAAAAAAATATATATAATAATAAAAGAAGTTTTTTGATCAAATTTAAGCCTCAAAAGATTATGAAAATATATTTCTAGTAACGGTAATTGACACATTGCAAAGATAAATCTGCTTAGCAGTAAACGCATAAATAGCAAATCTTATGTTTATAATCAAGATTATTTCAAGTATTGGAGATCAGGTACTTTAATTGTATGACTGATTAAGGTAAACACAGCCTCATCCTAAGCCTGTGATGACAAACGATCATTATAATATAAATAAACCTCTTTTACTAAAACTTGAATGGCTTATACACACTCGGAAATCGATTTACTGATCTGCAGATCGATGAGTTGCCACAACTTATTGTCTGTGATGCTCCGATGTATGCTCCGAAAATTTTATTTATAAAGCGGGTGTTTCCATTTTGTGCAATCGATCGACTAAAATAAAAAAAACTTGACAAATTAATTATAACAAAATTGTATCAACTATGAAATTTATAAAAAAAAACCGGATTTTTGACGCCGGATGCGACACAATTTTTGGTTCTTAACCTTTGGTTGTCCAGCGGTGAGGCTTTTAGATACTTTTGGTTGGTTCATGTCTCTTAACGTTTTTAATGTCATATAAGTAAAAGAACCAAAATTATAAGAAAAAAACACGATTTATAATAATTATAATATTAATTTCGAGAATTTGAAGAACCTAATAAGAGCATTTGTTAAGAGCATTGTTCCCTTGTTTCAACTAAAAGTATACTGTAATAACAATGTAAGTGTCGATATTACTTTGTATTTTAGGAGCGTATTCTCACCACATAAACATATTTATTTATAGGTCCGATAATAATGAAAAAGTTTATGACCCATATGGTGGCCGTTCCAGTTCTCAGGAATTGGGTGTTCCAAAACTTCAACATGTTCAAGAACAAATAGACAGCACAAAGGGTGAAATTCAAAGCACACTTCTTACTATGGCTCAACGAGGAGAAAAATTGGGTGAATTGGAAGAAAAAACAGGTATTTCTACCCTTTAAAATCTTTAAATAAAATTAATATTTGATATATTATACTTTGGACAATTTTATTTATTTTGATTCTGATTTTATTAGCAATGCTACATGAAACATCCAGCGTTTTTAAGGTCCATTCAGCGAAAACTCGTAATAAAATGTGGTGGAAAGACGCAAAAATGACTGTCATCCTTGCAGTCGTAGCAATTATCATATTGGCTCTTATTATTGGTAATATTATTTGTTCTTAAATGAACTGTGAATTAATTAATACAGTAATATACAAATTCTGACAATCTTTAAAATATTTTTAATGTTTTTAACAGTTCCAGTTGTGCTTAAAGCTCAAAACAAAATCTAAACATTTATGTGTATGGGGAGAGTTTACGTATATAATTTCATACTATCTTCATCAGCTAAATGCGAATTCATCATGTATTCATAAATTACGCATCTTTGTTATAATAGAAATTTATGAATTATTATTATTATTATTATTAATTATTATTAAAATACCATAGGTGCCGCTATGTATTTATGTATAATAAAATGATTGGTTTTTTTTTTTTTATCTACAAGGCTATATTAAAACATCGATAGTTGCTAAAATAAAAGATTTGTAATCTCGTTCCGGGAAATATTACACAGTGTATTTCATACATCTACACATATAAATAAAATTAGCAAAGGGGTTTTTTAAAAACGAATACATAAATAAAATTAGCATATAATTACCTAGTCTCTTCGTGAATTTCTAGGCATTTCACACTACAATATTTCATTCCACATGTTTTACAACTATAGTTTGACAAATATCCACATACTGAACAAAACTTTCTTGGTGGATATCTAGATGGTCCTGCTATAGCAGTGAAATATGTAGGTATATCTGGAGGAAGCTGATCAATTCGCTGTATAAAATAAAAATAACAGCCTTCGATTAAAATATGTGGCAACGTGAATGAATAAAAATGTTTTATAATATTGAAAGCCTTAACAATTTAAATCTTAAAATCTTTTAACTCAACGTAAAGGCAAATTTTTCAACAGCTTTCATTGTTTCTCTAGTAATTTTATAATGAACAAAGTTATCGATGAAAATCGTCTCTACATTAAATTGAAATACTGAAGTAATTGTTAAGGCTCTTGAATCAAACCAGTTATTACCGATTCTTCGAGTAGTGCATTAAGGTTTTTTTTAACTGTTAGCTGACTTAAAAGTTGTTTTTTGCTTCTTGCTTTTGTTTTTCGATCTGTTTAACGTAAATATGAATTAATTTCAGTGATTAGTGCTGTAAATCAATAATAATATTAAGCAAAAAAAAGGCTTACTTTGGCTAGTATCAACTTCGGAAGTACGTCTTGGTTTTGTAATAGTTCCAGAGACAATTTCAAGTTCTGGTACTTCTGCATAATTATCACGTTCAAGCTCATTCAAATGATGTTGAATATTTCTATTCCTCGTTGTTTGATCAAGAATAACTTTATGTTTCATGATTTTGAAGAAGAAAACGAATTATCGGGATTTTTTGTATTTTTTTGACATTATACACGTGTATGCTGTATTGCATATTGCATATTATTGCATATTTATTGCATATACATATCACGTAAAATTCACTATAGATTATCTACGTTACACCCATATCGAAATATTCCAACTTCTCTTCACGAAGAAGCTGTTAAAGCTAAAATGTGGTCGCCAAAATTATTGAATCGACTCCCAGCTGGAAAATTTCGTTTATCCTTGATTGATAAGCCAATGGCGGGTTTGTTTAATTTAATTTCTTCTCTATATTTGCCGCTAAATATGTTGTTTATCATAATATATAATTTGTGAATGTAGTTAGTGCCGTAAAAGCGATTAATATCCCAGATAATGCTACGGTGATTGAAATAAATTCCGGTTGGTCTTTAAACAAAATTTTCAGGTCTGCATGTGCTGATATAATAAATAATGAATCATAAACAGTGTCATAAGTATTAATTCATTTTAACCAAATATATTTTTTAAGGCTTAGGATTTCTTACGCATGCTCTACTTAAACACACCAACGCTAAAAGGATAATCGCATTAGATAACGATAAAGAATGTGTTGAGAATCTTATGGTATGGGTTAAAAATATTTTAAACTAAACAGTCATGTTAATAATTATTGAATTATATAATCTTTAATTATTTAAGCGATTAGCTGAAGAATCTTCTGGCAGATTAGAAGTCACGCAAGCTGAGAATAATATTGTTTCAAAGTTTGCATCAAATAAACTTGAAATAATCTGTTCATGGTTACAAAAAGAAAAACTTGCTGATACGCAAGTATATCCATGGGAAGAAGGTGATTTATACTTTATTAGATCTATTTTATTTGTTATTTTTATTTATATTATTCTTATTTCTTTGTTAGTTCATCCATCGTTGGTTTCTATATTTCATCTGCCTGATAAGATGAATGGCGATTATTTATTGAATCAAATCATGCAAGATTTTTATAATCGATCCGGATTTCAGGCATATGGACGTGTTCGAACAAATGTGTTCATGCCTGCGTACTTATATGAGGTTTGTGTTTTAATATTCTCTTGTCAGGTTATGTCGATCATTTCGGTGAAAAAACTTAAAATATTGGAAAATTTTGAAATTGGGTAAATTTTTCTTTAAGAGATAATATCTCGACACCTAACTATCCAAATTCAATCAAAAATTTTTTAATTTAATTCTGTTGGTTTGTAGAATTAAATAGAAAAAAAATTGATCGAATTTAAATAGCTGGTTGTCTAGAAATATTCATTAAAACTTAAAAAAATTTGGCCGCAGCTTCTTTTTTAAGGACATCAAAACTTTGAGTGAATATTACTCAAGCTACATGGCCAAATTAGATTAAAATTTTTTTATGACAATCCTATGAGCACATAGAATTAAAATAAAAAAATTTTGATCTAGGCGCGTAAAAAAAAAAAAAACTGCGGTCAAATTTTTTTTTTGAATTTTAATGAATATTTTCGACACCAGTTATTCAAATTCGATCAATATTTTTTTATTTAATTCTATGAAAAAAGTTTCATTAAATTTGGACAGTTGGTTGTCGGGAAATATTCATTTAAAATTTAAATAAAAACATTTCTTTTAAATTTTTTTAAAAAACTTTAAATGCCGATTTCTCGAAGAATAACTATCCAAATTCAACCAAAGTTTTTTATTTATTATGTTAATTTGTAGAATTAAATAAAAAATTTGATCAAATTTGAATAGCTGGTTATCAAAAAATATTCATTGAAGATTAAAAAAAAATTTGGCCGCAGCTTTTTTTTTGAATTTGAATGAAGATTACACGGCACTTACTTGGTTAAATTCGATCAAATTTTTTTTTATTTTAATTCTGTTTGCTCATAGGATCGACACAAAAAAATTTTAATCGAAATTGACCAGATAAGTGTCGAGTAGTATTCGTTCAATGTTTTGATGACTTTAAAAAAGAAGCTGCGGCCAATTTTTTTTAGTTTTAATGAATATTTCTCGACAACCAGCTATTTAAATTCGATCAATTTTTTTTATTTGAATTCTACGAACCAACAGAATTATAATAAAAAATTTTTGATCGAATTTGGATAGTTGGGTGTCGAGATATTATCGTTTAAAGTTCAAAGAAAGAAAAATTTACCCAATTTCAAATTTTTTAGATATTTGTTTTTTTTTAAAACTTTTCGCGATCGTTTCTCAACAATTACTAAACCAAATTATATGACCTTTTTTTATTTTAATTCTACAATACCCTAGAATTAAGATAAAGAAGTTTGCACCGAATTTAATCAAGTCGTTATTGAGTAATCATCGCTAGAAGTTTTAAAAAAACTTTCGAATTTATTAATATGTTTATTAGATGTTACACCGAAATGATCGACATAATGCCTCTTACTAGATATACATGAAATACTAAAAAATTTAAATATAATTTTGTAGAAGAATATGGCAATGTTAGGTGATATCAAGCGATGTAAACAAGGCGTTGTAATGGAATCCCTTGCAAATATAGATATTTTGAGAGTGATTCCAGAACGTGCATATACTCCAAAAGTATCTATAATATTCTTATTTTTAAAATGATTAAGCTTTGTTAATTATTAAATTATTAATTAATTCTTGTCAGGCAATAAATGTACTATTAAGCTTGACACCACAAGTTCAACCAAAGCTTAAAGGTTATTATTTATTTATTATTTATTTATTTATTCATTATTATGTTTAAATTTTATATTTATACACATGGTATAATTATCACAATAAATCATAGCTCAATTGGATGTATTCGAATATGTTCTCCGTCATGTATTGTCTAAAAAAACCGTGCCATTATGTGATATTATGAGGTATGATATATATATATATATATTAAGTTTAATTACCGATATTTACAAACCTTCTCTATTTAATAATACTATTTCAATATTTACTCCAATAGTACCTTAGGTGCCGGCGCAGAATCTCTTACAAAAAATTTGTCCTTTGATTCTAGGGTACTTGTTAAGGATGTAACGGTTGAACAGTTTATTGAATTGGCACAAATTTTCGAACAATGGCCATTTAGGCCAGTTAACTTGCATGTAGCATTTAATGAAAATCATAGAAGGCGAAGAAGAAACTAAAAGATACGAGTAAGGTATATCTCAGCTATGTTATATTCACATGTATATCAAAAAGATAAAGTACTGGTATGCTGTATTACAATTATAGTGTTGACTGACTTTTGAGTATTATAGCCTGATCTTTTACAAGAAAGGTAATTCTTAATGAATTATCTATAAATATGGCACTGTAAATAGCAAAGCCACTAATTTGTATAAGGCTTTATTCTTTAATACATTTTTCTTTTTAGGTAGTTACATGTAAATATAACGGAAGGTTTAATCATTGGTATTATTTACCATTCAAGATGAAATAATTAAATTGTATATACCGTATACCAGCCGTTTAAATGATAAAATTTTGTACAACATTACAAGGATAACAAAATAATTTCACGCCTTAGGTTAAGACGCGTATAATTCAAATTATACTAATTAATTAATTATATTCTATTTGCTGTAAGTCTTTCATTCTTATACTGGCACAACTTGTAAGCTATACAGTATTATCGTCGTCATTTTTTATTCACGTATTTTTCTGATATGTGTACCGAGGTATTTCCAAGTTCTCACGGTACTCGTATAGGGGGTCAACATAAAAGAATAATTATGCATCCCCAGAATCCAAATATGTATGTCATTGGCAGAAAAATGTCGCGGTCTCATGATCACCGATTGCTTCCGACTGGATAACTTAAATTACGCATTACGTTTAAAAGACTAAATGTACGTAATAATTTAATTAATTATTACGTACATTTAAAGAACTATCAGTAATGTGTTATTTTGAAACAATTATTTACGTTTACTAAAATTCGATTATATGCAAAAGGCTATAATTTGTTCAATATAAAATTAATGCTGCTGTAATTAAGATTACTTATTTTACCAATAATTATTCAAATAATTTATTTAAAGCACAGTGATCGAAATTTTCAGAATTCGTACGTACTATATGTAGTTTGAGAACGGTTGATCTGTTTTAAATGATTTTCGACTTAAATGAAAGCTAATATCCATAGCGATAGGATTTGTCTAACATTAATAATCGAAAACGACAGATCAGCAATTCATGAAATATTTTTGTTATACGTACGTACGTACGAGGCTGATTTTATTTTGAAATTTAAAAATGGTAAAAAAAGAGAAATTAATTAGTTTTATAACGAATGGTTGGTCCGTTTTCGATGATTCTGTGCTTAGCAAAAAATCGTTAAAAATGAATCAGCAATTGTGATACTAAAAAAGTAATAATTAATTTTTAAATAATTTAGGGTTTAAACGATTGCTATGATTCGTAACATTTATTAACGTTAAGATTATTAAAGATAATTCATCCTTTTTTTTAATATATTAGCATTATATATACTATATATAAAATATTAGTTTTTTGTCGCTAATTTGATTTTACTGATAGTGATTGGTTATTGAATTTATTATTAAATAGCAATAATATTTCAAAAAGGATGATCTATAATTGATATCCGAACCTAACTAGTTTGGGACTTTGGGACTCTCTAGGGTATTAACCGACTAGTTAAAACCCGTGGAACTTGTCTCAAGCTTATTGTATAAATAGGATTTGAAATTTTCAGATATAACCAGTTTGGACCAATAGTTATAACTATTTGGACGGCAACTGTATTATAATTATAGATGCGGTGGTGAATTGGTGAAATTGGTGAAATTAATTTCACCAGCATCTATAATTATAATAAACTAATATTATATCTTCGCTCAAAGTTAGGGAAAAATCAAAACGCCTATCAAAATATAAGATATCTCCACAACCACCTGACCAAAATCGATGAAAACTTTTTAAATTCATTAACATATATAATTCAAATAAAAAAAATTTCATTGATTTTGGTCAGGTGATCATGGAGATATTTTCGTTCAAAGTTTTGGGAAAATTTGCCACAGCTTCTCACACCCACCAAAATCGATAATTTTTGAATTTTATAGATTCATAGGATTCAATATTACTTTTGTAACATAACAGGTAATGTTCAATCAAAATCAACATCCACAGCTACATCTGGACATCCATAATTTACATTAAAACCAGTACAGTATTATATAAAAATAGAGACCTTGAAGATATACCGTATTTTTGCGAAATAATGCACGGGGATGTAATTTCAAAATTTGGCCCAAATTAAGCTTAATTCGGGCCATTATTCTAAATAGCATTATTACGCGAAAATGCGGTTTGTATTATTTTTAAGATCCCTATAACAATGCTGGTTTAACGAAAATTATGAACTTCCACGTAGTATATTGCTTTTGTTGCATAAATTGGGTTAAGAAATTTTTACGTACAATAATAAAGCTGCATGCAGAAGCTAGATAATTCAACCATTTTACGTACCATTTTTTAAGAAATTATGCAGTGGTTGTGGCATTTTATCATCTGACCAATCAAATCCGTCAAAAAATTTAACATTAGTAAAAAGTCATTATATTTGTTTTTATCTCAAATTTCATTATAGATACATATAACCCACATAATTAAACAAACCAATATTATTATACATATTATCGACCCACTACTTTACTACTTAACCAAAGAAAGTTGCACCTATTATTCTAATCACAGATATAAATAGGCCTCAGTATAATAACTATTAGTAAAACAAAAGGTACTTTAAAGTGTATAATAAGTTCTTCGAGTAATGATTTATAAGCCAATCAGAAAAAGGCTATCCTATTGGAAAACGTCTTTGAAAAATTAAAATTTGCTAGCAAAGATTCTATTTTTGTAATATTGGTCTAAATTATAAATTTTAATATTGATTAAATATTACTAAATTTTTGCAAATAATAAAAATAATTTTTTCGTGTCTCTGGGGCGCAAAAGTTACATTTTTGATAGATCTGCGGTTGCTTTTTTGATCAATACCCTAAATTGAGATGGCGTTCTTAATGCATCATATTCTTAAAAATTTTAGAATTTGAGCAAAAATATTTTGATGACTAAATTTAACAAATTTGGGCAGGTGGTTGTTGAGATACCTTCACTCAAAGTCCTGAAAACATTAAAACGTCTATTAAAACAACAGCTACGGCCAAAATTTTATAAAGCTTTGAGCGAAGATATCTCAGCGACCACCCATCCAAATTCAAAAAAAATTTTTTTATTTGGTTTCTACAAATCTTTAGAATCAAAATAAAAAATAAAGTTCATCAAATTTTGCTAGGTGGTTGCTGAGATATCTTCTCTCAAGCTTTGAAAACACGAAGCGTCTATCAAAATAGCTGCGGTCAAATTTTTTGAGAGAAGATATCTCAGCGACCACTCATCCAAATTCGATAGTTTTTTTTTATTTTGTTTCTGCAGATCTGTAGAATCAAAATAAAAAAAGTTGGCTAGATGGTTGCTGAGATAACTTCGCTCAAAGTTTTGAAAACATTAAAAAATAGCTGCGACCAAATTTTTATAAGTTTGAGCGAAGATATCTCAGGGACCACACATTCAAATTCGATGAGTTTTTTTTTTATTTTGTTTCTACAGACCTATAGAATCAAATAAAAAAGTTTGTCAAACGTAGCTAGGTGGTTGCTGAGATATCTTCTCTCAAAGTTTTAAAAACATGAAGCGTCTATCAAAATAGCTTGATCAAATTTTTGAGAGAAGATATCTAAGCGACCACTCATCCAAATTTGAGTGTTTTTTTTTTTTTTTTGTTTCTGCAGAACTGTAGAATCAAAATAAATAAAAGTTTGTCAAATTTGGCTGGGTGGTTGCTGAGATATCTTCGCTCAAAGATTTGAAAACATTAAAGCATTTATTAAAATAGCTGCGGCCAAATTTTTATAAGTTTGAGTGAAGATATCTCAGGACCACCCATCCAAATTCGATGTTTTGATTGAGATATCTTTGTTGAATTAGGGTATGATCGGCCTATCAAAAATGTAACTTTTGCCTCTGGGGCACTCGCGATGTTTATTCACGTGATATGCAAGTTTAAAATATCGCAATTATTTCCCCTTGAAAAAAAATTGGATATACGAGGCTGCGCGTATCCCAAACGTGAGCAAACAACTCGTACGCGTTTTCTTGAATATATATAGTGTGCCAAACCCCTCCGCACCTATTCTAAACTCGATTAATAATCATGTCCACATCTAAAACTTAATGCTGATGAACTTTGCACTTTCGCAATCCCAACCTTTTACCTTTTCGTTCACTTCCATAAATAATTACATAAATACTTCGAGCAAAAGGCCTCAGAATGGAATATCATTTGCTTTCTTAAAAGTTGTGACTTGGAACCTTATTCTAAGAAAATAGAAGAATACCTTATATGTCTTGAAACAAGCAAGTTTGAAAGTTTTTAATTTTTAATGAATGAGTGGCGTGGTAGGGATCTCCGGGATAACTATCATTCAAAACTCTGGGTCGAGCCACAAAGACAGTGTTGGGGCACAGGTGGTCTCTGGGATTGCCTGATGTTTAAAGTCTCTGGGACTACTGGCACTGTCAGACCAGATGATCTCCGGGATTGTCTGATGTCGAAATGAAAGTTAAATAGCGATATGAAAGTTAGATGAAAATATGATATTTAAGAATACTACAATTTGTAAAATTATTGTCTTAGGGTGACAAATCAGATAAAAAAAGGGCCAGAGAATGGGAAAAGACTCGTTTGTGTATGTGGGTTCATATCGATCGTCGAACTTTAAGAGGGGCAACAGTCAATGGTGCAATTAATAATGTAAATGGAAGCGTAAGTGGTGTAGGTTCGATGTAAATTCTACGCCAAAGAGAACTAACCAAGAAAAAGTAAAGACACATAGTTTTTTTAACTAAACCTATTTGTTTCTAACTAATTGCAATTTAATTCTTAATCCAAAAACGGACTAGGATCGATGACTATTTCCAAAGAATTCCTGAACACTAAAAGGCAAATGTGTTATGTAATATTCAGGTCGCAACGATATTTTTTATAATATTTTTTGATGTATACGTAACACAAATCATGACAGGAACAAAATTCGATGGGCCATTATTTAATACCTAATCACGAAGGAGTTATTATGGAAAACGTTGATAACGAAGATGCTTACACAAAAAACATCCAACTATCTCATGAGGTAATGAACCTTGCATAGATTTAAAGTTGCAGTTTATTTCACCTGATCTCTGATTATGTCATATGGGGTCTTCGCCTTGAAAATCACCCTCCGACATTTCTGATCGGGTTAATTCGGACAAAACAAATCCGCATATTAGTTCACGTTTATATTTGAATCTCTCTTTGCCTTTATTGATTCGAAACTTTATTCTATAAGCTATTGAACCATAAAGACAAAAGGGGGTTTACATATAAACATGAACTAATATACAGCTTTGATTTTGTCCGAATTAGCCCGATCGAAATGTCGGAAGGTGATTTTCAAGGCAAAGACCCATATCTTCGAATTCACAGAACGTATTACAGTATTCTACCATATGGCATGCGATTTAATTGCCATAAATATTATATGCCATAATACCGTAACGCAGTAAATTTTTGATAACTAAGAAAAAAAATTATTATAGTTGCACCTTTCTAAAAATGTTACAATAAACACATAATTTTATATGTATTTGCTTAATCGGTCTGGTTTAATCTTACTAGCTTCCAAAAATTGGTTTTATTCATTATTATCTTTCTGATCTATTTTATTAACCAACGATGATAGTTTCAATAATTTCTTTGCAGTAAGTCGTTTATCAAGATCTTTATCCATACATTTCATAGTTCATTTAATATAACAATCTGGTCCTAACATTTAGATTTTGATTCATCAATAATTTTGATACAGGATCACCATTAAACGGAGTTCTATCAAATGTCTTTGTCCGGTCGGAATCTCTGTTGCGATAACTCCAAGACTGTAAATATCAGATGCTTGAATATACAGTTGATTCATCAATATCGCAGGTGCTATATACGGCAGAATTCCACAAAATTTTCCTTCCTTTACTTTTTTAGAAAGTTCTAGATCAGCGACGTATGCAAGAGTTGGCAAAATGTTTCCACTGTGTAAATCTCTGTGAACGAGTTCCTGCTAATGTATCGACTCAATATCAAAAGGTATACATTGCAAGATACTCAATTTATCTTTCCATTCTAATTGTGATACTTGTACAAAATTTTGTCGTAACGAACCTTTTCCTACAAAGTTCATAATAATAATATAATCATCATAATCATTTCTTGGCACTCCAATAAATTCCTAGAACGATAGATTCTTGTAACTAATTTCACAATAATTCTTCAATTCGTGAATAAATTCTTGCATATTTTCATTTGAATCACGAATTTTAATGCAACATTTCTTAATATATGATCAATTCTACCTTCCCAATTTGCGTAATATACAAATCCTCCTTTTCCTTGATATTTCTGAATTCATTATAAACAATCCAATACAATTTAAATCTCTCATCGTCTAATATTTTTTTAAGTTCAAGATTGATATAATTTGGTGATTTTAATTTTCAAAAGACTTCTGCATTTTGTGAACCAATAATTTGTATCCTTAATATCTCTCTTTGTACTTTCGATAAAACCTAGCAACATTACTCATTGCTCCATTAGCACTCAAATCAATGCTTTATTATAATCTCGATCAACCCCATTCCATTTTTCATAACAAAAACCAACATTACACATCGCAAAAGTACCGTATTATTTAAATCAGCCGATTGCTTATAATATTCAAATGTTTTTTGATAATTTATTTCTGCTCCGATTCCATGATGATAATAATGACCATCATATATCGCAACTGGATTTCTTAACTCAACTGCTCTCAAAAACCTTCCCAGGTTGAACGAATAAGTAACGGGATACAAAATTCCCGATATGCACCCTATATGCTAAGCACTCCCAATATCCTACTCATATAAAATACCGGGATTACTGATACTTTACCGCTATATGTACCCATGCCTATATCTTACTTTTAGTTACCTGATACACTACTAATATGCTACAATTATTTGGCGGATCTATGGTGTGCATATCGGAATTTTGTGTTCCTTTATTCGACCTATGCTTCTTATCGTTTTCTCAACACCAATACCTTGTTGACAATTGTAACCAAGTGTATGAAATTGTTCAGAATCTTTTTTTTTTTTAAAAAAAAAGAGTTCACTAATAAAATACTGTATTTATTTTTGAGTTAAAAAAAGGAGGTATCGCATGCTGCGATGTGCTTATAAGTAGGGTTGTGGGCACAGGGGCATGCCTTGAAACCAAAGGGCATGCCTAAATAACATGACACAAAGCAATTACTCCTATTGGCTAGAAATTATTAACTATTAATATTATACTTTTTATTATTTTTTTCTTTATAATATATCTATATTAAAAAAATTAAATTATCCTAATAAAAATCAAGAATTTAAAATGCAAGCCTTTCAAAAACTCAATACTGTATTTTCCAAAATAACTACCTTAGAAAATATGCTACCCTTCTTTTGGTAAAAAAAAAATTAAATCCAGTTTTAACCTGAAAATAAGCTACCCCACAATCAACAATAGTCTACATAGTAAAGTCCAAATTTTACTATGTAAATCGATTATAGTCGTCTAAATAAACTTTATTTAGAAGATCAAATTATATATGAGTGTCATCAAAAGAAAACCCGACAATCTAAAAATAGATCTCATAGCTCATTATGAAATTCATAAGTGATCTATGTGATCTATTTTTAGATTGTCAGGTTTTCTTTTGACAACACTCATATACTTCAAACTTTTATCAAGAATGGAGAAGTTTTTATTATTTGACTTTTGATTTTATATTCGGTAAAAAAATTAAAAAAATATATTTGACGAACATAAAAACTAAAAGTTAAATAATAAAAACTTCTTTAATTTTAATAAAAATTTTAAAGTAAATGTATTTTTATATTCTAAATAAGTTTACTTAATTAATAATTATTTGATTTACATTGTAAAATATAGACTTTACTATATAGCAACTATCTATGATTGGACAAAAATTTTAAGATTTTTTTTTTTTTGATATTAAGGTGACCTCTTTGGCCTGGGGACTTTTTATTAGAGAATCAATAGCAGTCTTATAATGTAGTTACATCAAGCCACACGTGCACCTTTTGAGTGCCTAATTTAAGTAGTCTACCCAAAGGTTCTACACTATCTGCCATATCTGCACTCCAACTAGGGGTACCCATTTAAACCATCTAGTTACAACTACTTGCTATTGCCTATTTAACTCAGGCCATACATAAGTAGATTTTGGTATTTATCCTATGTGGATTTCGCACCCTACCTTAGGACTTACTAACCACAATTTGGATTTATCAATCTTTATCTTAAGACTAACTAACCATATATAGTTAATTTATCCTCGAGGTAAACCTAACAGAGCAGTACATGTTCTACATATGTATTTACCTGCATGTTCTTATAACTTCTTTCTAATTAGTACATATTGAACTGCCATTTCATATTAGTATCTCACATAGAGGTCTGATTTGATGAATAGTATATTCGAATATTCACTAAATATTCAAATACTTGAATACAATTTTTTTCACCAAATTGAATAGTCAAATATTTAATTTATTGACCAAATAATTCATTGAATATTCATTGAATATATAGTATAATTAGTTAAATTCAAAATTAGATGTAATAATTTTAGTATATTTACTTGTATTAAATTAATTTATAAATAAAAAAATATTTTTATATAGTTATTAAATATAAACTTATATCATTTTTTAATATATTTGTTTTTAATAATTAATATATAAAATTAAAATACTAATAATTCAATTATACAACTCTTTCTGATGATCATTTGTACTAAAAAATCCAAACACATTTTTTGTAAAAACACAATAGCATTTAGTAAAACACAGAGGGCATACTAGTCACTATAAGTCGGCAGTTG